GAGCTGGATGAACACAGCAGGCCAAGCAGCATCAGAGGACTTTTTCTGAAGAAGGATCTAGACCCGAAACGTCAGCTTTCCTGCTCTTCTGATGCTGCTTGGCCTGCTGTGTTCATCCAGCTCTACCCCTTGTTATACCCTAAAGAGGTAACTGTTTATCTGGTTTGACCTGTATTCTTTCCACTTGCAGATTGTCGAATAATGCACTGAGTGCTGAGGTCATCACAGAACTGCTGAATCATCTATCAAACTTTTGTGACTTGAAGATTTTGAAGTAATCCATTCAATATTCTTTATTATTGCCTCATTATGTTTAGACCCTGCAGGAACTTCTGTTCTCCCTAAAGCTTATAAACCCTCTCAATTGATGTTGATTAAATCTAAAAAAGCAGGGAGGGTGGTTTTGAGGAAAAGCCTGCATAAAAGTAGAACTAGTTGTAGACTGTCCACTGAGAACTTGCACTGTTGCTAAATAAGATGTGCCGGGATTTTTGTGTACTGAATCTGCATCTTACTGGCATTAGAGTGGCTTGTTGGCAGCTCTCTTTGTTCAAGAGCCAGTCTAGAAGTTGTTGGAGTGAAAGAACTCAGCCAGGCAAACCAATCTGTGCTGATGCCTCTCCCTAGTGCTGATAAGTGGGGCAGTAGTGACAAGAAGGGCAACTAATTGTAAAAGCACCTAGTAAAGACAGTGTGATCAAGTAGCATTGTGCTGACCACATATAACATGTGGAAAGAGGAAGGAAAGACTGAAATCTTGATCTGAACATTCAGAATGTATATTAATGGGGAATTGAAAAATTTGCTCTGGTGCAGCTTGTTCTGTCTCAGTTGTTTGGAATTTGTTTTCCTGTTGTGATATCAGCTGAATATACAACATGCCAACAATGTTAACAACATCCATGGCTGAAAACTGCCTTTTTTAGCCTTAAAAGCTTTAAGATTTTCTTAACCAGTTCATGGTAGCAGATAGAAGCGTAGCCCATCTCTTTTACCAAGCAAACTGCATTCTGTTCATATAAAAAAAATCACTTGTTTATTTATCTTTCTCTATCTGTAGCATTACAGATAACATTATTTTGCCAGAGGCTATCCTTTTGCTGGCTAATTCTCTGAATATTTGTGAAAATGTGTTGAAAGTAGAAGTGAGGTAAGTGTGGAGAGATCATGTATAGAAATAAAATGTAATGATTGTAAAATGAAAAGCAAACACAGTTCACTCTGACACTTCTGATTGGAACAGTGAAACACATGTTATACAGTGGGGAGGCAATGACCTGGTGGTATTATCGCTAGACTATTAATCCAGAGACTCAGGTAATGTTCTGGGGACCCAGCTTCGAATCCTGCTGCAGCAGATGGTAGAATTTGAATTCAATTTTAAAAATCTGGAAGTAAGAGTTTAATGATGATCATGAATCCATTTCAGTTGTTGGTGAAAAACCCATCTGGTTCACTAATGCCTTTTAGGGAAGGAAATCTGCCATCCTCACCTGGTCTGGCCTCCATATGACTCTAGACCCACAGCTGTCATCCTGTGAATGAGTAAAAAGAAACATGGCATCCAGCTCTGTTGGCTTGAATTGGCCATCTCAGCTGTCACTCTTCCTGAAGGCCATTAGATATCTACCTCCCAATGTCATGTGGATGAGGAGTTGGGGGAGGAGGGGGCAAAGTCCGAGTAGAAGTAGGAGCATGGAAACAGGGGAAGGTCAATCGGAACATTCTTCCTGTTCCACCATGTGACCAGACCATAGCTGGTCTATATATTAACATCAATTTCCCACCTTGATTCAATAATCCTTAGCAGCCATACAGAACATAAGTTTCTCAATCTCAGCTTTAAAGTTATCAGTTAGCATCTCCTCAAGAGCTTTTTTGAGATACTTCCAGAGTTCCAGTGAAATGTTTACATTTTTCCCAGTAACTGCTTCACACCAACACAAACAGAAAGACCTGGCAGAACCACTGAGAGTCGCAATGCGAATAAGCAGTTCTCACATATTCCTTTATTTTTATGCCCATTTTTGGTGGAGATTCCAGGCAGGGAAGTGGGAATTAAGTCACAGAGCTACTGCTCCAGCTTTCCAGTACCTGCTGACGCTTCCAGAATTTTCTCTTGTTGGTGACAATGGCGATAGTTGAATTGAGGGATGGCGAGTATAAATCATTGTTGTACATTTCATCCTGAAACATCAGGAGATTTTGTTGCATTCTGGAGTCCTGAGAATGAGTAAGAACTGGGGGTGTTGAAGGTTGGGCGGAGGTGAGGGAATGTGGGAGGGGTAGGGGAGCTGTAAAAAGACATTATTATCTTGCTTCACACATGTTAATTATGGAAGTGATTAATTGCACAAGGAAATTAACAACACGTAAAAAGCATTCTTCAAAAATTTATTATCAGAGCACTGCTGTGAGTATTTTAGTCTGTCTGGCTCGGGGAAATTTGCTGAGGTCAGAACAGGGGAAGTCACATCATGCCCAAGAAAACTTGGTCCTGATGCAAATAGTTTACCATATATTTACATTGCAATCTTTCCTAAAATTCCATACTATGTCATTCATTCCCTTTATGTGTGTTTTACACGTTATTACATGTGCATGATTTACTTCAAAACTGGGAACTAGTAAATAATATCAAACAGCATAATTTAGTCAAGGCCACTGAACCAAAATTATTATTGATTTTGCAGCTTACACATTGAATCTTTTGATTGAATCCACAGCATGGAGTTGGTTCATGGAGTCATTTCAGATTGGTTTAGATGAGATTATTTTAAGTACCTTATTATCCAGGCAAGTAGGGTAGCAACTACATGCCCTGTAAGATCCAGCAAATCAGGATTACTCCGTTTTTAGCGGTGAGGTTAAGGGAGCTTTCCTATTAATACAGTATCACAGGCCTTTAACATTCATCTGAGATCTAGCAATAAGCCAGACCGTTACTTTTTAGGCTCTGATTCAAAAGATGGTTTTTGCAGTGATGTTAGTCTCTGTAGTGATCTTAACCTCATCCCCTCATTCTTCAGTATCTCTTCCACATGCATGACGGTCACTCAAAAGATCTTTCTTTCTAATAGTGTCAACCTCAGTCAGACTCAAATGGAAAGGAGGTAACATAAATAAATAAATTTGTTTAGGTCTTGAACTAATAGGGAGAAAGCAGTAAATTTAGTCTGTACATATGACATTTAAAAATATTACTGTGATAAAGTAAAAATTTTTAATGATGAGCCAGATTTCTCACTATTTTCCAAACTGTTTCTTTCACTCATTGTACTGAGTACAAGCCAGCTCTGCTCTAGTAGCTTCATATAGGGCAGCCAGGAATTCATTTGTATTACCATAGTACCTCCAGCAGTAGACTGACAGAAACGTTGGAGAAACAGTTCAAACTAGGAGAGATCAGTCTCGTGTCCTGTGTACTTTCAGAGACAGCAAACTTGTGATGACAGATGTGTACCCTACTTAATAATCCAGCCCTAAACCCTTCCTCCCTGACCAAGCGCTGCAATTATAACTGAGCGCTGTCTGCATGTACAAGGGAGAAACAAAGCCACAACATCTTGGCTTTTTTTTCTGTTACAGAGCGAGTGGGAGAGCCTCAATAAGATTCAAAAAGAATGTTTACAGGTAATTTATTTTCAATACTTCATTGTTTCTCTCTCACAAACGCACAGACACAGGCATGCACACACATGTGCACACTGACTATATGTCATTTTCTTCCTTCAAGTCACTTCCTAAAATTCACCTTTTTGACCCAGGGCAAGTACAACCATACGGTGAACAAATAGGGCAGCAAACTGTAAGAGGTGGCAAAAAGATGAATAACTATGCATCTATATCAATATTTTTTTTTAGTACACAAACAGGCTTCAGCACTGTGAATGAATGATCCATGTCCCCCCATGTACTGAAATACAAATAGTTTTCCATATATTTACACTGCAGTCTTTCCTAAAATTCCATATTATATTACTCATTCACTTATGTGTTTTACAAAGTTATACGTTTACATGATTTACTTCAAAACTAGGAACTAGTAAATAATGTTAAAAAGCATAATACAGTCTGGGCTACTGTACCAAAATTATTATTGAATTTGTAAATTACACATAAATTACAGTAATTGGTGCCAGAGTGTAATATGTGGTTGAAGTCACACTTTATTGTAATAATGCATCTGCAAAACACCTTGGGATTTGCACTATTTGAAGCCTTCACTTAGGACTTTGTATTTTTCTTTGGTATCTAAGGTTTACTGGAACTTTTAATAATACTTTCTTCATGTTAATCAATCATAGCTAGCAGCACAAAAACAAAGTTGCTGGAAAAGCTCAGCAGGTCCGGCAGCGTATGTGAAGACAAAATCAGAGCTAGCATTTCGGGTCCGGTGACCCTTCCTCAGAACTATTCTGAGGAAGGATCACTAGACCCGAAACGTTAACTCTGATTTTTTTTCTTTACAGATGCTGCTGGACCTGCTGAGCATTTCCAGCAACTTTGTTTTTGTTCCTGAGTTACAGCACCTGCAGTTCTTCCAGTTTTTATATAGTTAGCAGCAATATTGTTGTATTTGTGTTGAAAAGCTCTGACTCCATTACCTCCTCCAGTGCAGTCAGTTTAAATCTTTTAATATTGTATTAGAAAACAGTGTGGATGAACTAAAAATATGGATAACAGAAGTGGCCAGAAAAGCTCAGCAGGTCTGGCAGCATCTATGAAGAAAAAATCAGAGTTCATGTTTCAGGTCCAGTGACCCTTCCTCAGAACCTTGCCCAGGTTCTGAGGAAGGGTCGCTCGACCTGGAATGTTAACTCTGATTTTTTCTTCACCGATGCTGCCAGACCTGCTGAGCTTTTCCAGCAACTTCTGTTTTTGTTCCTGACTTAGAGCATCCACAGACTGTCAGTTTTTAAAAATATGGATAAACCAGTATGAAGGTGTTGCCAGTTGTTTCCTACAATAAACACGAGCTGATATTTAACATATGTTTGCAATAGAGGAATTGCTATTACTGTTCTGTATCTCATACCCTTAGTGTTTTGTTGCATGAGATCTCACTGCTGCAGGGTTAGCAACAACCCCATCTGTATGAGTTCCTTGTTCCCCGTTAATACTCTCCCTTTTCTTTTTGCAGACTTGAAGGAAATGGGAAGAAACCAGAGCCTCCACCCTCACGGGTTCTCAGGTAATCATAGAATCCCTTCAGAGTGGAAGCAGGCCATTCAGCCCATTTAATCTGTACCAACCCTCCAAAGACCATCCCACCCTGACCCACACCCCCTACCCTATCCTCATAAACCTACATTTCCCATGGCTAATCCACCTAGCCTGCACATTCCTGCACTCTGTGGACAATTAGCATGGCCAATCCACCTAACCTGTGCATGTCTTTGGACTGTGGGAGGAAACCGGAGCACCCAGAGGAAACCCACACAGACGTGGGGAGAATATGCAAACTCCACACAGACAGTTGCCCGAGGGTGGAATCGCCTGGAGATCCCTGGTGCTGTGAGGCAGCAGTGCTAACCACTGAGCCACCGTACTACCCTAAATCCTTCACCTTGTTCTGTTGTTTGGTGCTTTAATTCACATCACAGAAAAGTGAGTATTGTTCCTTCTTTTCCAAGTCTGAAAGAGTGTAACCTGTGCAAGATGAGTGTGGAAAGTCTATTCAAGATTCTCAAACACAGCAAGAACCTGACTGAGCTGGAGTAAGTACATTGTTGAGCAGAACTGTGTTTGGGTATGTGAAGCACAACGTTTGGCTGAAATTGTTTAGTCACCCTAGTTAGCATTCATTTACATGTCTTGTGTCATGGGAAGTGAGTGTCTTTTGTCTGGTTTACAAGATACGATCATGAACATTCGTTGCAACATCTGAAGTTTGCATGTGCAGTTTAAATGGTGCAGAATACACTTTTAGTTTGGTGCTTGAGTGCAAACAGGCAAAATATAATCTTCAAAAGTTCAATCATAGCCTCCTCCAGAAGTCAAACTTTAAGGAAGTTTTATAAATGGCCTAACAAAATGCCAATGTAACTCTGCCATAAAATTCTGTTTTATTGATCATTTTCAGCCTCTCCTGCAATTTACTTGGTGATGAAGGATTGCAGTATTTGCAAAATTCCTTACCAAAGCTGCAAGTTTTAAAAGTAATCGAGTGAGTATTTATTTGTTTTAATTACACTGAAATCAATGGATCTTAAAGATGAAAGTTATTTTTAGAAAGAATCCTTAGTTCATATTATAAAAACAAAACATTAACTCTGCTCTCTCCATGGATGCTGCCAGGCCTGCTGAGTTTCTCCAGCAATTTCTGAATTTGTTCTTTAAATCATTTTCCTATCCTACCATCAAATCCCTGAATAAGAGTGATTCTTACAATGGCATTACAGTATTGAAATGTAATAGAGCAACGGTCACTTCCCTTTTTGTTTGGTACTATATGTAAGGAGAATCCGGGGGTCAAGCAGTATGAAACGCTATAAAGAATGGTTGTTATAACTGAAGTTAACTGTGCTCTGAACTATCTTCTTGTCTAATTGATTCTGTCTGATCAACAGCCACTGCTGACTGGGAAGCTCTATTACCCAAACATTGCATTATAACCAGACCATTGTTGAAGTCAGATTGTAACATTTCAAATCAGCTTGTTGCCTGGACCATGCAAGTAATGTGATAGATTGAATCTCCACTCTCAATGTTATGCTGTGTCATTGATGCCCACTGTAGATGCTACCAACTGTAGAACAAGCCCCAGGTAAACCCAGTGCCAAATAAATCTAGCCCTTTGCAGATTTTGCCTGTTGTAGACCTTTTACTTAATGGAAATGGAAGTAGGACAGGCCATCTGCAATGTCATTTTACCCTAGAGAGCAAATTAAAAATATACTCCAGTGTTTCCTCCCAGATCATTCCAATAGGCACACTGGAATGGTCAGATAAAAGCTCAGCTACTTAGCAAATGCTGTGACTGCCATTAGTGAATACAGCAAATCATTACTTCAAGAACTACAAACAATGTCTGTATTCTTGCAGTTTGTGTTAAACAAAAGAAATTAGGTTAGCTGTACGGTCTATCGGATTTTCTTCCTTTGCTAAAAACTGTGTTTTATGGCTGATCTGGCTGCAGTGTGAGCAACAACAGAATCTCTCCAGTTGGTGTTCTGTGCCTGGTGGAATCTCTCCATACCTGCAGTAATGTGACAGAGGTTGAAGTGAGGTAAGCACTTTGTAATCATCTTTTTAATTAAGACATGGTTTGCTCATTCTATCTCCGTACTTGATTACAGTGTCACTCCTGGGAGATCAGAAGTCATGGTCTGAGCATCATGAAATGGAATGGTCTCCTTGCACCAGCTGGTCTTTTCTAACCTGTCTTTTTTGTCTGTTTATAAATGTATATTTAACGCAGAAAAGTACAAATATGTAGATCGATAGAAATCTGGCAGGTAGATTTCAATATGAGTAAATGTCAGCTAATGTACATAGGAACAGGAAAGGACAAACCTTATATCTAGCAGAAAAGAGATCTGTTTTATTTGGTTAGTGGAAATCTGACATTGGGCTAAAATGAACTTCCTGTTCAAGTGGTGTCATATTTTGCATAGAGATACCTAACAGGTACATGGTCAAGTGATTCTGTTAAAGGGCCTATTGGTAAAGGCCAAGCAAGAACACAAATTGGGTATGACATAAATCTTTGGACTAAGGCAAAGTACATTCTATACTGGGATGTATTTGCAGGCTGTGGGTTCACAAATCAAAAAGAGTTATAAAGACTTGTACAGATAAATTGATTTTTCCTCTGTCTTCAAAAGCCCACATGGCACTTTTAATTGGACAGGAGCCTGCCTCTATGCCAGTTAAGAGGGTGCCGCTGGTAGAAACCTCATTAGTAAGTAAACATAAAACCGCAACGCCAATATGTAAAGTCGCACAGTTGCATTGAAACATGGCAGTGGATTGAGCATTCATTGAGCCCAGGATTTAGCTAGGTGATATCTTGTGAAAATGAAGAATTCCATAAAAGAAATCCATGAGAGATCCGTACAACTGCAGCAGTTCAGTGCGTTGGAACTTGATACAATAAAGTGGGTGGGCCATCAGGTAGAACATCTGGTACTCAACTTGGATCCAGTTCTACTGGGATTTAGGCTACATGTAAAGATCTGTCTGAGATCATCTCTTACAGTAATTCCTTTATCCAGTTTTGTTGGGTGGGACTTTTTAACATGGATGATGTTTGTTTGATGGCTTTATTTGTTTGCATAGCTTGGCTCCGCCTGGAAGATCCCTAATAAAGTTTGCGAGGAGATGTGAAAAGAAAGTGTGTAGGTGAGTCAGTTCTTTGATTATGTGTGTGTGTGTGTGTGTGTGTGCGTGTGTGTGTTTCTTGTGCCATCATTGTAGTTAAAGTGATTAGATTCCCAAATCCGCAGAGAAGCCCCAGTTTTTGTTCTCGGTTGAGAGTGCAGATGCGGGAGAAATCCTAGTTCTGCAAACCTCACCTTGGTAAATGACTGCCCACACTACCAGTTCTCAGTTAGGGGTTGGTGGGCTGGATTGGCAGTCAAACTAGATGATCTTGGAGGACCCTAGGTGGCTGTCTGCTTCCTGAAGAGGGTAGGACGGAAAGCTTGCCTGGGGCCTCTGACACACATGCAAAGTTTAAAATTAGTATTTAACAAAACACATTCCTCCTAATCTCATTGCCTCACTCTCCATGTCCCATCACACGAATCTAGCGCATGCACTCATGACCATGTCCCCTCCAATCTCCTGTACCAACCTAATCCCATCTGTGCCAACTAATGTCTGTGGCCCCAATTCCATTTGTGCCACTCTATGCCCATCTCCCATGGCTCCTCATACCCAAATGTCCCCAACCATCCCCATGGTAGCCCTTATGCCAACACGGATTTCACCCATCACCCTTTTCCTTTTCTCTCTTTGCCAACTGATGTATTATCCAGCATGGACATTAATCAGGAGGCATCATAACAGAAAATAAAGTTATCATTCTGTTGATTATATCATAGGTGGAGGGGAGGGTGGGTCTGGATGAGATGCTCTTTGCAGGATTGGTGTGGACTCGATGGGCTGAATGGGCCACACTGTAGGGATTGGTGTATGTAGACCCACTGAGCTTTTAGGAAGGAAGTCCAGAATTATAACGCAGCTATAGTGAAGGACCAATGATGGTTTTCAAATCAAGATGGTGTGCACCTGTAAGCAACATGCAGATGGTGGTGTTCCCATATATTGGCCAGCCTCGTCCTTCGAGGTGGTAGAGTCCATGGGTTTGAAAGGTGCTGTCTAAGGAGCCTTGGTGAGCTCTTGCAGTGCACCTTGCACTGTGTGTCCCTGGTGGAGGCAATTGATGAGGTACCAGTCTAGTCCATTTCTTTGTCCTCGATTGTGTTGATTTTTTTTGAGTATTGTTGAAGCTGCACTCATCCAAGCAAGTGAGAAGGATTCCATCACATACCTTGGGCAGGTTTTGAGGAGTCAGGGTGTGAGTCACTCACCATGGGAGTCCCAGTCTCTGACCTGCTCTTGTAACTACGATAATTACGTTGCTGGTCCAGTTCTGTTTTTGGTCAACAGGAACATGTCTTGAGACTTCTTGACACCTCTTGAACTTTTTGACAAGTTGATACTTGTTAGAAGAACTTGACAAGTTGAACAGTTCCAATGGGTTTATGCACTTTTAACACACTATATTCTTCTCAGTCAGCTGTCCCAAAGGGCACCTAACCATTGTCATCTCACCAAGGATCCCACACTCACACCTCTTAGGTATGCTGCAACTATATCCACAGAGGCATGTTAACTCTGTAAAAGGGAACTTTGGATATCCTGAATAAATACAGAGATCACACCTGCTCTCTCCTGGTCTAATCTCCACACACTGAGTTCCGCACTCCAGAAATTCTAAAATCTCATTTCAGCGGAGACATTTAAGTGCTACAACAAGATGAATGATCTGTCAGCGTATCTACCACTGTCTGCTCAATGCTTCCTGCTCCTATGAGTGTGAGTTAGCATTGCAAATTTGCAATTGCAGAGGGCCATCGCACAAGTGGTTGGATGCCAGGCATTTTCATCATATGCCTCAATGTCATGACATTGCAGCTGCAACAACATGGGCATCACAGTTCTGTCTGTCAGGGTACACACTTAAAGTATAAAAGGAGCGATAAAACTCAGCTGCTCACACGCCAGCATTCATCATAACCAGGAGATTGTGTACATAGCTTTTCGGCAAAGGCTTGCATGGGACAAGTACGCAGCCATAAAAGTTAGCCTTGTGAGTTCCACTTTGCTTGCCCTTCAACCCAGGCTTATGGTGTCAGCCAATGTGGCTGCCTCACTGGGGCAGGCTTGTTGGCCTGGCCAGGCTTTAGCACTTACACTGTAAGCGTTTACCAACAACAAGGCCAACTGCATGAGGCTTTTCATGAACTGATCAATATGGAGAGGCTTCACGTTCATGCCACAGCGTGAGAAAGCAGTCTATCCTGGCTGGCTCCATATATACACACACCAATATGTTTGTGAACACGTGTTTCCCATTTATGTCTAGCAAGGTCACGTCCATGAATGTAATCCCAGCAGAATGGGGTATTAATGACTATTCATGATAGGCTACCAATGAGGGCTGGGAAAGCCAGCTCTGCCTATGAGATTCTGAGAATTTAATAGCAAATCCTCAACCTCCCGTCAGAAACTCTGACCCAAATGAGTTCCCCAGCTGGCTTTCTGAAAACTCCAGGCAGGCACAGAGAATTTCACACATGGTTTCCATTCAGGCCAGGCAATTGTCAAGCCATGAGGTGTGAGTATCACCTATTCACACACCGTTGTGATAAAATCGAGGCTTTTCACGCTCGTGCTCTGGATTTCATCTCTGGATATGGAAAGTCTGCAGCAGCTTATGGAAACCAGTTTCTTAAATTATTTGGAGAAGTTACAGCCACTAACTACAGGAAGAGTCTTTAGCATTTTAATGATGTCTGAAGGATATGTCCATAAATGTTGTTTGCATTTTAATACATTTGCCAAGACATGTCCAGCCATGGAGGTTATCTCAGGAGGTCTTGTAGCTCCTTGTGTATCGCTGGTAAAGGTCACCTGACCTTTTTATTTTAAGGTAAAGTGTCATTTCAAGTTTGTTCTTTAGAAATCCAAATTGTGCGAGGGTGACATCTTTTAAACTTGGTGCATTTGTTGGTAAAGGAGAGGGACCAAAAAAATAGACTGCAACTTTTCTTGATCATTGTGAGCACTTTATTTCCTTGGTGGTTGATGTTTATTAGATGAACGTAAACATTTGATGTATATTTATTTGCATTTGTGTGAGTGTATTGAAATGTTTGTGACAAATGTTGGTGCATATGACTGAACTATGAGATCCCTCTCAACATCAGTGGACTGGACAGGTTTGTTTGGCTCTGCATAATTTCCTCCAATGCTTACTTCACATATGCCAACCCCTTCAGCAGCGTGGTGTCCAGAATCATGTGCAGCAGATGCCATTTTGAAACTCTATGAACATTCTGTGTTTAAACCAAAACACTAAAGATGTGAATTTGAGTGCAAGCTCATAACAAGGCATTAACTTTTTCTGAGGGTTTGAAATGATTAACTCTCATTACTTTCCATTTGCCTTTGTCTATTTCATTTCACCCATAATATTCAAATCCTTATTTTTCGACTTACTGGGTTTTGTTTGGCCAGCTTTCAGTTCCTATTCTTGATAGTTATCATTGCTGCTTTGTTTAGTTTGTTAATTTGATACTTGCTTTTTTAAATAATGTGCTGCAGCTGCTGTGTTTCAATGCTTCATTATGTTTTACGTTATGCTGAACTATTTTTGACAATCATGACATGTTGCATTTCTCTTCCTCATGGGTTGTTCACAGTGTGAAGGAATGTAAATTTAAAGAGAGAGACCTGTTCAAATTCTTCTCCATTATTGAACGGTGCACCCATCTGATGGAACTGAAGTAAGTACAGTTTTGCTCTAACATGCTGCCTTATTTTAATGGCGCTTCAATAAAGGGCATTGGTGAAGCAATTGGGTTTTCCCTGACAATCAGCAATGGTTTCATAGTGATCATTAGACACTTAGTTCCAGATTTTTTCAGAATGACCTTGTAGTTGACCTGTTGCACAAAACAGAGGGTGACATGGTGGCTCAGTGGTTAGCACTGCTGCCCCACAGCACCTGGGACCCTGGTTCGATTCCATCCTTGGGAGACTGCTTGTGTGGAATTTGCACATTCTCTTGTGTCTTTCTGGGTGCTCTGGTTTCCTCCCACAGTCCAAAGATGTGCAGCTTAAATGGATTGGCCATGCTAAATTGCCAATAGTGCCCAGGGATGTGCAGGCTAGGTGGGTTAGCCATGGAAATACAGGGTTACAAGGTTAGGGTAGAGGTGTGAGGTCTGTGTGAGATGCTCTTTGGAGGGTTGGTGTGCACTTGATGGGCCAAGTAGCCTGTTTCCGCACTGTAAGGATTCTGTGGTTCAGAAAACATTGATTTGGCCACAGCAGTAGTCTGTCCCATGCACTTAAGGACACTGGTGCACACAGAGTAGAAAGCGTTTGTTTGCGGTAGATGACTCTCAGATGCATTCAGTTTTAACCAACCTTTTTGGGTGTGTTACGACAAAACTCTGGAGGAAGTGGGTCTTAAGCCTGGGCCTTCTAGCTCAAAGGTAGAATGTTCAACACATCCATTTTATAATCAGGTGTAGAGCTGGATGAACACAGCAGGCCAAGCAGCATCATAGGAGCAGGAAGGCTGACGTCTTGGGCCTAGACCCTTCATCGAAGAGATTACGAGAGAGTTGCAGTGGGAGAGAGATTCCCTGAGGT